CAAATTAACCAACACGATACTGGTCTTTGTGAAGTTTGTCAAGAAGATGAAACAATTAAACATTTTATTTTCTATTGTACAAAATACGACAAAGATAGACGTCTCTTAAAAGAAAGGATTAAATTGAACAACCCCAATCTGAAACAATTATTGATGTCTAACCCAATTTTTACTCGTGAATTATTGGGTTACATATACGATACTAATCGTTTTAGATAGCTTTTAAAGCTATCAGGGATCCCCTTAACTTATGTCGATCCTGTAATAATATATAAAATGAAGTATTTGCGGTTTTTCCATGAACAATTGCTACTTACTCCCATCTCGCCTTTTATGTACATTTTATGCAATTTTAATATTGCAGCTTTTTTTTTTTTTTTTTTTTTTAATATAAAACCATATCACTATTAATTTCATTTCACCAAGGAAAGTCGCTCGTGGGCTTGATTTCCGAAGCCCACGCCAAAGCTATACACGAAATTGACTGGCGCAAATAATCTTTGAGATTGAAGAGCGCCATCTAAACGAAGAACCAACCAACCAACCGGTGTCGAAGGTTGTTGTTGTTGTGTTTTTTTTTAACGCAGAGATGATTGGTTGAGCTATGGACGTTAAAACAAAACTTGCAATGTCTGTATCTAGGACAATGATGGTTGGCTGACGGTCAACTATAGACAGAGAACTTTGACATCGTGAACACTCTGTTTCATAAACTTTAAGTCTTGTGAACCTCCAAAATAGATGAGGCCTACAAGACCAAAACGATGATCATAACCAGTCTTCTGTCTCGCTTCAATTCAATTCAATTCAATAAGGGTTTATTCATATGACGTTCTGGCAGCCGAAGCTGAATTGCAGGTCATTTATACAAGGTAAAAACATCATGACATTTAAAATACACTGAGCATTATACATGTTAACATAAAATAAAATTAATGACATATAAAAGGATAGATATACTATACTACACATAATACGCAACATCATTAAACATAAACATATTTTTAAAAAATACATGAAGCTTAATTTTTTGAATAATAATCGTTTAAGATACGAACAAAATAGGGAATAGAGCTATTATTAAAGCGATTGGTTATACAAATAAATTGAGAATATTTCTGTACATTTCGTAAATTAAATTTAACAATTCTTTGACTTGGTAGCCGTAAAGAACACAATTCATGCTTTTCTAAGTTAATGGCGAAATCAAAACAAAGTTTATTCCTACGTTGTATTTTTCACTAGCCGTAAAAAGGCCAACAAGATCGGAGCTTTCGGTCTCTCGGCCCTCAGTCTCGTGGGCCTTTGATCTCGTACAGGTAATTCACTCGTTGTTTTCAGAAGGCCTGCCGGACTAAAACCATCGATCTTGTAAGCCTTCTGTCAACTTTGACGGTCCTGATAATAAAAAAAGTTCTATACTTGAATAAAGAATTAGATATTAATTTAACTTTTGGTTAAGTTGATGTCTGTTAAACTGTCGTTTCCATAATCATAACCATCGTAGACAACGGGAGAAGAAACAGAGAGAGCGGGGGAGGTGGGCGGTAAGGGGGGGGGGGGCAGAAAGAGGGAGAGGGGAGAGAATAAACAGAGAAGAGAGAGGGAGACAGAGAGGACCATAACTTCTTGTATATACTCTGCAAATTTTTTTTTTGAGTAAACGATTTTGCCTACCATTTTACTGGGTAACAGAGAGAAGAAAAAAAACAGAAGCAAATATTTCTGTCTCAACATGTTATAATGAAGTTATCATGGAGGCCTATAAGCATTGAATTGAGATTCAGATTATGAGATTTATGTTTTGCACAAAATTATGTCGAAGACGACATATATTTCTAGGAAGTTCCACCGCCTTCCCTCGGTTAACTTTTCGGGTCATCGAGAGCTTTCGTGTGCTATTCTCGTCTGTCATACTCCGACGGTATCAACTTCGCTTTTTTCTCTTCTGAAATGTAAATGATTTCCAGATTTAGAGGTAGACATCCTTCCAAAATTCGACGTGATATGGTTGTATTATAATGTCAAGGAGATTTCGCTCACCCGCTGTTTTTCAGCAGTCAGAATTGAACTTGAAAAATAAACAATTTGTCGAGGGCAAGATATCATATGGTCGCCATGTGTGCTGACCAGTGGCCGAAACGAGCGCTTTGACCGCTTTGACCGGACAAATGCAATTTAAAAAGATTGAGTGCTGATAAAGATGAAACATAATTTGTAAGCATCTCATTCTTTGTATATGACAGTTTGGAAGAATATTTTTGAAGACATATCCTTTGCCAAGGTTTTATTTTCAAATGCCTTCATATTCAAAATATGACGAGCAATAGCTGTAACGTTTGGACCAAACTATGTACTAGCCATGTGTGTGCTCTCCTTTGTGTACATTGCATGGGATTTTTAGCAAGACTGAGTCGATTTGTTTTTAATTTACCTTCCACAAACCTCACAACAAATATCAAGTGTTATGCGCTACATGATCAACCTTTCCCAATTGATTCCAGACAGTTTCTTTCATAATACTAATTGCATGAACAGTCAGACACATCTTTATCTTTTAAGATAACAGATAGTGAACACTGTGAAAGAATCTGTGTAAAGGCAATAGGGAAAGATATATTATGTAGTTCATAAGAACCCTAATGACTGACGATTCCTTTTTTTTGTTTGAATAGAAATACATTTTTGAAATCCTACTAAAAAAAATAAAAATAATAATATGACAAATTTATATAGCGCTTGTGACAAAAGTTTCAAAGCGCTGTACATGTACACAAATCAAAATTACTTAAAACAAAAATCAATATTATAAATGGAATTAACATTACTCAAATTATATTACTAACATAACTTAACAAATTATCATTACTTAAATTAACAAGAAGATCAAATATTTCTAACATTACTTAAATTACCAAGAAGATCAAACATTACTAACATTACTAAAGAAATTAACAAAACATGTAAATTCCTTGGAAATTAACACATTATATCAGTAATAGCAATAATTTAAAAAGACATAATAAAGGCATGGTAATATTTATTCGAACTTATTTGGGTTACTTTTGGAATAGATGAGTTTTTAGATTCTTGTTGAAAATGTCAATGGTGGGTGAGTGCTGGATATTGGCGGGAGAGTGTTCCAAAGAGTGGGGGCACAGACTGAGAAGGCCCTGTCACCATAGCGGTTGTGGGTGCGAGGACCAAGTGCGAGCTGGGGTCTGGATGATGATCGAAGGTTCATGCCGGTAGTCTGGTTGGGTGAGATTAGTTCAATCAGGTATGATTAAAAAAGGTAAGAAATTGATCTTGCTGAAAATCTCATACAATGCACGCATAATGTAGCACCCCGCCTGCTTAAAAGGTAGTCCAACATTTCAGTTATTTCTCATCTTTGTCTAGTACGAGAGCATTTGAAAATCAATCCTTTTCGGGGACACTTCTTGTACCACGATGTTCTTCCAACTAAGTGTCATAATAAATGGGGGAAAACCCAGCATTTATTTTCAGAATGGATATTGGCTCTTGCAGTGGCTTGACCGGGTTCTAAAAATGACTTGAACGCGTTGTATACATGATACACATATATTTTCAAACCCACTGTGACTGACAGCATCACCCAGCCCTCGGGGATGGGAAGGGAAAAACGGGCATTTTAATGGGAGTTGAGTTTTACTGAACTACAGTAGTCCGTTCGTTCGTTCGTGTCTCCTTAGATCAAAATAGTTATGTACAGTTTCTTAATTAAATTAAATTAAATTAAATTAAGTTCTTCCATCGCCCAAATTGCTGCAATGGCTGTTTCATTGACAAGATCTTCATCTGTGCAACCCGTTCCGCCGCACTGCTAGATGTGGTCCATCGTCTGAGTCTCTCCGCAGTCACAGAGAGTATCTTCTTCATGGGCATAGCCCCATCTTGCCATATTGACCTTACACCGCCCCATTCTCGTCCGCATTCGATTTAGGCATTGCGACTCCGGCTACTTCACTACAGCAGTGAACACAATTGGTATATTGTGTAAGATGAAAATAAGAATGCTTCAGCAAACAGAAAAACCCAGAGATGTTACAACCAGTCAGAACAGATGAAAAGTATGTTAGTCGGTTTCCGAAAACTAAATTCGCTTAGCGTTCTTTGCACGTCTGTCGAATCGTCAAATGTCCGAAGATGATGACGTAATGCTGTGCTGCTCTCTGATTGGCTTAAAGTAATATTGGGTTATTGTTACGTATCGGGTCGCGTTCATATGATCCCAATGTGCAGCCATGATGAAATTTTAGAAATATAATGTAGCAAATTAGGATTTTGTTTCTGCCTGGTTGCTTGTTTATTGGTGTAGTTTTACTTTGTATTGCTCCGTATTGTTTTTTAAATAGCTAAGGTCTACTATTAAATAAAAATTGTCATCATTTGTTAGCCAAATACATGTTATTTTATATCATTTTATCACAACTTTATAGAATTCATCATGAGAGGAGTGGCAATAATTCATAAATATTTCTTTCTCACTCTCCAGACTCGCTTAGCATGTACAATGCCAGGCGATGGAGGAGGAGGGGGGGGGGGGGGGGGGGGGGGGGGAGTAAAAAACAGTATATTCTGACATGTAACATTTTCCGGAAATATAATGTGCCGAAAACCACTACATTTACTCTCTCTCTATCTCTCTCTCTCTCTCTCTCGCTCCCTCTTTATCTTTCTCTGGTTTGGGAATTATCCATAACAACAACAATAACAACACAATCTTCGTAATCAAACTTTCAATTCATAAACATTTTTGAGTCTTTTGTTGCCCGGATGACATTTTCGCTCCATCCAGTTTAAAGTAGGCTACAGCCAATGGTGTTAATCTCTAAGAATTAGAGATCAGTGTGAACAGCGCAACTAGTACCACCGCACGTACGGGCATGGCTATACGGTACGAGAGAACGTAGCTAGGCAGGCGAGAGCGCGCTATATCTGCGGGCGCTACAAGTCAAGCGCGAAAGAGTACAATCTGTTCCTCTCTGCTCGCTCCCATCTCATACCGCCCTTTGCCTGCCTGCCTAGACGTACAGGAGCTTAAGACCTGCATCTCACGGAATACTTGATCAGATCTAGTCGGTTCTGTTGCTTGGAAAGCCAAAATGACGAGGTTACTCTGGATAGCGGTATTAGGACTTGTCCTACCTTTGGTAACTATTAAACTATACCAAGTTTCTATTTCTTTTCTTTTCGTACAGTTTTTAATTTTGATAGAAAGCGTTAATGGGTGCCATTCTCTGATTGAGATTTTCATACGATGCATTTCTCCGACTGGACAAGTAAACCATAATAGCGGTTATGTCAACTCTGAGTCAGAAAAATGGCGACACAGACCTATGTTTTTAATAGTTCCCTTTATTTTCTTCTGTGGTTAATATCACAGTAATGTTGCCTTGTATATAAAGCTGGTGACATACTTCGAAATGATGGTGACTTTTAGCTTCATCGTTCCTTCTTCTCCCCATATCTACTTCTTCTATGTTTAATATTTGTCTTCATAATATTTTACTGCGCTTTTTGACTCTAGAGTTGGGAGCGTACCAATATCTGCATTATGTTCTATTTCTTTTCAATTTCATTGTGATTTGTATCGCCTGTAAGTGCTATTAACGTTTGAAGGCAAAGTAACAACCGGAAAATTGTCACAATAGGCAAACCTAGTGTACATCAAACACAAACAGATAGCAAATTCAAAAGGTTCTTGCAAGTGATTGATTGAAAGTTATTCAGCATTATTCTGTGTCAATATTTTCTTTTGACGTTGAAAAGTATAGGGTAACCGAGAAGTTCCTCCCCGGAGGGTATTCTCATTATATTATGCATCCCACTTTTGTGTCGTGTTGTTACGTTTTTAAAAGCATGGGCGTAGCTAGGGGGCGAAAGGGAGCCATGGTCCCATGTTCATCCAAGGAATCTATAGATTAGAGGTTAATACCTTACCCTACCCAGCCCCCCCCCCCCTCCGTGTAACACGTCTGGCTTCATCAGTGTTTGTGAGTATTGCTATATCGTTTTATGAATTTACGAGGTATTTGAAAAAGAACACTGGTGCACTGACAAGGAACAGTATTTCCTACCACGAATTCTGTCTAGTTAAAACATAATATGAAGAGAAGTTTTCCTGCCGAGATATTCAGATTGGATGAGTTGTACGACACATGCCCCTGCGGTATTGTTCCACGGTAATTTCAGATTCTAACTGAATTCCTAATTTCAACTTTAGATTCAAAACTATATTACAGGCGCTAACCCTAATCCTAAACCTATAATTTAAAACCCAATTGCAACTTAAACCCTAACCCTATACTTTTGACGAGATAAAGCCTGGGGTGTTTCACAAAGATCCCAAGTCAAACTTAACTCTAAGTTGGATTTAAATATTATGGAGAGCCATTTGTAGCCTTAAAATAAAACATATTCAAAATCAAAATTCGAGTATTTTAGACTTTTCATAAATTCCACATCAAGAACATGAAATCTATTTGATTATAGACAATTATGAATGATTTGAAACAACATTTTATGCCTTTTAAAATAACGTTTACAAAATATTTTCAATGATGCTAACGGCTTTCCATAATTGTTAAGTCCAACTTAAAGATAAGTTCAACTTAGGATCTTTGTGAAACGCCCCCCCCCCCCCCCCTGGAGCAATAATGTCGCCGGAGCTGAAGTCGGATCACCTCTCTTAAGAACGAAGGCAATCTGTTCTATAAAACGTTGTCCTTCCATTAACATGGTGCGTATGTATGGATGACGAACATGATTATTAAATAAATTACACTAACTTCAAACTAGAGTTATGACATGTTGAGGTCATGAAGGGTTGAGAGTGGTACGTCTTCTCGGTGGGTTATCCGAGCTTTTTGACAGACCCGAATTCTCGTCCAACAAGAAACATATGTGTCACCCCAAAACACAGGGTCGGATACTGGGAGTGTGCTTGGGAGGGGGTCGCACTCTAGCAGAGGCAATGCCCCTCCATACCACCTTTTCGTTTATGGGGAAATGTAGTTACCGATATGCCCATGCTCTAATTAGATGCATCCATAGCAGTGGACCACCACACGTACTGCATTTATGTAAGCTATTCTGTAAGCAATGGCAATGAATTCACCTTCAAAAAATAAAATGAATTAACAAATAAATACAATTGTTTGTATTCTTATAATGCATTTTCATCCTAGGGAATTTAACTAATCTTTAAAAACAACATCATGTACAAAATCTTTGTTATGCTATTATTAGGCATCATTAACATTTTACTCAACGAAAAATGAAGATGTCTTTGTTTTAGATACAACTACGAGTAGTTTTAATTTGTGTGTCTCGGTAAATCGGAAATTGCAGCGCAATCCATGATTTTAGAGGAGCACCACCAACAACAAAATAATCAATTCTTATAAGTATAGTCGGTAGAGAATTCTATTTTTTATTTACAATTTAGGATTTGGTTACATTTCTCCCGGACACACAATCACGACAATCGCATTACAAGAAAGTAGAAATAGATTTTATTGCACATCATTTTATTGCTTATTCTTTGCGTTTGTCTAACGTGCTATATCTTGAAATATTGTTTGGATATTATTATTAAGACCATGTCACACCAACAATAATTTCAGAGTGGTGGAACCAAGATTCTCGGACTGGAGGGGGCAGGGATGTCAAATAGTTACGACAAACGAACACGCCCCACGACAACAAACAAACAAAAAATACGTTTTTGAATTCCGCTTGGGCACCTTTTTTCGCCTAATTGGTGGTAAAGGTATATCAGATTGGTTTAGCAGGGGGTGCCCCTGTGCCCCTTGGATCCACCATTAATTTTCTCCGTGGTACTCCTTGGGAACATGTGAGATATAGATAAACCTGAAGGTGTTGGGGCTGACAATGTTGGTCATTAGATTTGATTACGAGTGACATAATGAAAGATGTCTCACACATGTGCCGTTGTGAAGTGATATTATAGAGGGGTATGGTATCTCTACTATGTATGATATTACCATTAGACGGGTGATGTTCAGGGACTGTAACACGAATGGTTACGACTGGTTGAAAGTGTACGATCAGTCGTAAGACTAATCCAGTAGCCACTATGCGCCAGGGCGAACCAGTAGGGCGTAGGGATGGAAAGTGACAACCCATCCCCCTGGACAGAGTGTGAACAAATGGAGAAAGCCAAAATAAAGAAGAAGAAAATGAAAGATAATGTGGAGGAGAAGAACAAAAAGTTGAGGAAGTAGTAGTATAGTAGTAGTAGTAGTAGTAGTAGTAGTAGTAGTAGTAGTAGTAGTAGTAGTAGTAATAGTAGTAGTAGTAGTAGTAGTAGTAGTAGTAGTAGTAGTAGTAGCAGCAGTAGTAGTAGTAGTAGTAGTAGTAGTATGTACAAAGAGGAGGAGGGAGGAATACGAATAAGAAGATGTATAGAATAGGACCATACACGAATAGGAAGACAACTGAAATGTAGAAGTAGATGAAAGAAAAGAAAGACGGAAGTAGAAGATGTGGAAGAAGGAAAGACGGTTTAGATACAAAGGAAGGAAGTATTGTTGAAAAAACAACATTATTAGAACAAGAAGATTTGAAATTCTAAATTCGTGTTGTTTGAGACGAAATTTACTGGGAAAATAAAATTCCTTTATTTCAGCCTTTAAACAGGCATTCCATGGTCAAATCATAACATGAATATACCACCATAAGTTTTTGTAAATAGGGCATCGTCGAGTTGAATTATTTTTAATCGTTGGTCTATAGAGTACTCATACAATAACGACTGCCATAGCTGACACTGGGATTTGAAGTTCAATTCAATACTCATATACAGGAATGTCAAGGTCGTTATCAACCCTACCCTTTTGTTGGTAGTCTCGGCTACCTTTACTATTAACTTTGATATCAAAATACTATCACACCAGGTCGATCTGTTGGTGTAAATTCTCACCTCATTATAACACGAATTCTTATTTTCAAGCGGCTTTATTTTGCTTTCCATAGCTCAAACAGCAACCGAATTTGCCGGTTTATTATTAGCCTTCTCCACGGGTTTTACCAGCTGTGGTGTGGTCATACTAATTTGTAGTTTATAGAAACAGACCCTTTACGATTGGCTACTTCAAGATATATATAATCCGGTCAGCCCCGATCCAAATAAGTGTCAGCATAGACTGTAAGCCGAACTTGTTATTCTCACGGTTAAAGTGTCGAACTACCATGGTCAAGGCAATACCGACAGTGCACTGCTGGTCTTAGTTTCGTTCACAGTTCTTTGGCTCATAGTATTCCAGCCTCAGTTGATAAGAGTCAGCGATTGACGACTAAAGTATGAGACGTGTATTTCTCGAGAGGAAATAGTTCATATCGTCAAGTAAATTGAATCTATCGCAGGCCCCCCAACTTGAATGAGGATGCAGTTATATCAATATAAAGTCTGGATAATATCAACTCTCTCGATGATATGATTTGAAAGAGAGATGGAAATGTGCTCACGTCACCCCCTTGAGACAGCTTGCCTCTTTTCCTTACTACTTCATGTAGATATCATTATGTTATTATAATGAGTCTAGCAGTAGAATACTCATATCAGGGAGAACAGATGACCACATGCAAGCCCATGTTACCGAAAACACTCTTTGAAATAGAAGGTTGCCTCACATTGATAGCTTTTTGTAGGCCCACTCTCTCTATGTCCGTTCGTAGAAATATCATTGGCCTATAGTTAAATGTCCCCTGAAAAGGGTGGCTCTCCAAATGCCCCCATATTCCATTTATGACGAGACCTATATATATAGCTGAAGAGTAGCACTAAACATTTATGTGTATGCTGTCTCAAATCATATCCCCTTATCTGTGCACAGTGCATTTATCTGTCTTCAGCGAGATCGACTCGATTTCTTATCATTTCGGAAAATGAAATGGAAATTTACAAGGCTACTGATTACAGAGAGGGTGCAGGAAGTGGTCCGTCCCCTTTCTCGTTTGCCCCCCACCCCTTCCCTTCTTCCTTTCGATCCTTCATCTGGTTTCTCATGGGTTTTTTTTCACCACTCGTTTGGGGGGGGGGGGGGGGGTGCACGTGCTCTCCATACTCCCTCTCTCGCTACGCCACTGTTTACAGCGAAATGTTGGCGAGTTTGCCTCTAGCGTACTG